CATACATACATACATGTATATATGTATGTATATAGATAGTTATCAACGCTATTTCATACAAATATGCATACATACAAAAGCTAGATCGGTAGCCCAAACGCCCTAACAGCGGATGTGAACCATTTCTAAGGCATCGATGAGCTGGAATTATCCTGAGTAGATTTTTTATATTCTCGTATTTCTAACACCTTTTTGTCTCTTGATGGTTCGGATGGTAATTACATGCCTGAGTGGGTAAAAGAATATTATGAACCAGAATAAAATTACCATGAGACCACAATGAGTCAAAATGACAAATGCGTAAATTCATCCATACGAAGGGGTTAATTTATGCTTTTAGATAGGCTTTATGAATGAGTCACAGTAAAATCGCATTGACACCCTCTCGTTCTGGATGCGCAAGCAGATAACATATTCACCCAGACTACTGTCCGTTTGTCTGATCGATAAATACATTTATCATCTACACTCTTCCATAAACTAGCATTTCGAATAAAAGTCTGCACAAAGACATTCCAACCTCAACTATTTGTCTCAAACGCAAAATTTGAGGCAATCGTAATACTGAACCTATGGCAGCATGAAGCTCATAAATCTAAACTCTATTGGAATTGATTTACTTGCTGTGTGAGTTACATGTAAGATGATGAGGCATTCAATAATTTCATATAAGAAAATTATTTATGATGAAATCGATAGGCAACAAGTTCATCCAGGTTCATTAAAGAATGTGGGAGAATTGATGAGAAGTAAGGCTCCCATAGAGCTGTCTCATTGGCACCTCATACTGGAATTTACATTTAAAGTGGAGATCCTGATAACTTAAGACAAAGGTCATTTAGAAGCACTTCGTGGACATCTGCAGGCTTGTCCTTCATGTCCAGATTAAGCCGCGCCCTCAGCTGAGAGGCATTTAGTTCGGCCAGATGCATTAACGCCGCTTCCTGGAGCTTAGGAAGCTCGTGCTTTCTGGCCAGATAGTAGGCGATCAGAGCCGAACCCCCTTCCAAGTATTTGTACAGAAACTTTTCACATTTTCGTATTATGTTGGGAATTTGGTATTCTTTAGCCATATCCATGAGGCCTTCGACGTTCTCGCTTGTCAACGAAAGGTCTCCATTGGGGTAGATAAAACGCAAGAAGAAGAGCACAGCCTCGTACTCAAATGGAATAGAGATTACCGGGCCTATATCACCGTTGTTCAGGGCGGCCGAGCTCTTGAACCGCTCAGTGAACCATGGCGAATGCATCGCGAGAATCTGCCTGTGAGCAAATAAACGGCGATTTCCGTTGTCCTGTGGCATTAGCTGGACGTCCGACAAGTGGTCTGGTATGGTGAAATCTGGCTGTCTGACAAAGAGCTTTGTGTCCAGTGGGTGGCAGCAAACCGTGAAAAGTGGAAACTTGAACCAGATCTTAGTGATGTTTATACGCACTTCAACCCGTTTTACTGTACCCTGTGTTACCCAGCGTTCGTTCATCACTTTAGGAGGCAATGAGGTCGTGAGCCAGGCGCTACCCTCAAACTTATGCTTCACTAGCCAGTGCATTCCGCCAAACTGAATACACACCTCACAATCGGCCCGAAGGTAACTGGGAAAATCGAAAGCGATACGGGGCTGATACTGGTTGGGTCCAGTTTGGTAGAAAAAAATTATCCACGACAGACCCGGAATTTTGGGGTGGCTGACCATCAACTGAGAGGGCTGATCATTCAAATTTATCTCTCGACAGCAAATAAGCAGCAAATCTTGTTCATTAAACGTAAAGTCTCCGCAGTTTGATCCAGTTTCGTCCGTTAAAAAGCGCGAAAGCACTAGCCCCCCAGCAAACTTGGAGTTCATCCTTTTGCTGTCTAGAGAATGTAAGTTGGTTCAGCGGAGCCTGGCTCTGAACTATGA